TGTGATAACGTCCATAGAAACATATGAAATATTGAACATGCAGGTGTATTTGAGCATATGCATAGTGCATTTTTACCACTACTGGGTAACCACATGAGAAAAGGACAAAGGAATTTTCCAGATTGCAGCTCAAACTATTTGTCCATCCATCCTGATATTTCTTCTCTGGCTAGTCTTCCAGGGCAAAGGTATTAAAACTTCAGGCTGGGTCCAAACCAATGGAATCAAACTGTGAGAAAAGATTATGAAGTAGAACTTCCAGGGTAGAGGATATAACACAGGTTGCCTGTTGCCCTGAGCCCTAACATATTCTATTTAAGATGTCAGTGGTAATTAGAGAATTAAACTGAGTCACCCATTAAGGCCCAATGATCTATGTGATTTGAAATGAAACCAGAATATGGCTCCTGACTGAGTTCTTATGGCCAAGGGGAGTGATTTGAATTCATCCCATGTTCAGCCCCAATCCATTGGAGCTGACATATGCAATAAGCTGAGGTAAGGCTGGCCCATGCATTATGTGGAGTGAAGCAAATGTCTCAGTGTAGAGAGGAGGTGGTGGTAGTGGCAGCAGGGGGGCTATCATGAGGTGGGAATTCAGCTGGGCTGGGAAATTGTGTGACCCTCTAGGTGTGGTTTTACAGCAGCTCCCAGCAATCCTATCAAACATAGGCAATAGGTAATGAAAAGAAATGCTGGGAACTTCCGTCTAATAAGCATCTGGAGGAGTGCAGAATTCCCACCTCTGCATTAAGCAGAAAAATGTCTTGGTCAGGGTTGGCCCTATCATTGTGTGGAGTAAAGCAGATATCTTAGGCAGCTGGTCCATTGCTGGGGTCGGGGGGGGGGCAGCAAATGGTTATTTATTTAGTTTGCTATTACAATGGCCCCTTGGTATTTGCTGGTGCTTGATTCCAGGACCTCCCATGGATACCAAACTCTGTGGATGCTCAAAGCCCATTAAATACAGTGGTGTAGTAAAATGGTGTCCCTTGTTTAAAATGGCACAATCGAGGCTTGCTTTTTGGAATGTATACATTTTAAAAATATTTTCAAACCGTGGATGCTTGAATCTGTGGTTAAAAAATCTGTGGGTATAGAAGGCTGACTGTATTGCATTTTAATGTCAGGGAGTGAAAAAAATGCTTGTGGGTTTTCCTGCATCATGTGCCAAAACTACTTGCCTAACTTTGGACTCGTTCCCACTACAAAATAATCCAATGTGGAAACCAGGTTATTTTGTAATTGAATCTCTCCAGGGCTGTTTACTCTCCTTTTACGCCCTTTGTCATTCACACTTGAGGAGAAGGGCTGCCATGGAGAGGAAGAGGACCTTGCTAGAACTTGAAGGCATGCAACAACAACAAATAGAGAAGGGGCTGAACACTGGGGCTTGAGAAGGAAGCCAACAAGAACCGGCATAGCCCCCGGAGCACTGGGGCTTGAGAGGAAAGCTGGCAAGAGCTGGTGCAGCCCCCCCGTGAATCTGGCTCATCATTCCCTCTTGTTGAACATGGATTGCATTCGGGTCTTTTCAAAAGAACCTCCCAAAAACTAGTGTCAGGAAAGAGCGGTTCTTTTGCATTTGCCTCGATTCAGCATGATTTAAACTGAGCACAGTAGCATCGGAACCAGTTTCAAGTGGGAACAACAGTCATATAACCCAATCAGCAATTTGGGTTAAATCCTAGTGGGAATGAGGCCTTTGAGTACTGTGCATTGAAACTGATGTGTGGTCCATTTGTTTTCATTCTTTTTTTTCTTCAGGTAGAAAAATGTCTTTGACCATCTCTAATCTTGGGTCAGTCCTGGAGAAGGCTTTATGAAGAAAGAGAGAACCTATGGCAAGGGATTCATAATGAAGTAATAAATAGCAATGCCATGGTGAGTTGCCCTGAGTTTGCAAGACATGAGTAGGACACCTGATGACAGGGTGTCTTAGGGGTCTCTCATTCATGGGGGCACCATAAGTTGAAGCTTAAGTCAAAAGCAGGGTGGAGAACAGGTATATTGGACTTGAATGCACTTGAGCTTCAGCTAGCATAGCCAATGACCAGGGATAAAAGCAAAGCAGCTTCATTTATATACCGCTTTATACCACACTATGGAGTGTCTAAGTGGTTTACAACTATAAGCTCATTGCCCCCCAACAGCTGGGTACTCATTCTAGTGACCTCGGAAAGATGTAGGCCTGAGTCAAGCCTGAGCCCTGGCTAGTATTGAACTGGCAACCTTGTGGTCTATGAGTGAGTGGCTGCAGTACAGGCATTTAACCACTGCGCCACCAGGGTGCAAATCAACAAGTCATCCAACAAGTTTTGACTGGTGGTATATTCCCCATCTCTGCTTTAGGGTTCATCCAAATATGAACAATTGGGAAAAATAACACACTTTGTTAGTTGTACCCACTTACCATTTGGGTAGGAAAGGAGAGGGAGACATAAGGCCTAAGCAGACTGCCAGAAATAGTGCACATTAAATTGAGGCACTGCCCTGGCTCAGTGCTAGGGAGTCATGGGAATTGTATTATTTTCTGGGACATTGAGCCTTCTCTGTCAGAGAGCTCTGGTGCCACAATAAATTACAGTTCCCATGATTCCCTAGCACTGAACCAGGGCAGTGCCTCAATTTAATGTGCACTATTTCTGGCAGTCTGCTTAGGCCCATAATTCTTCATCCTACCAAAGACCTCCTGTCTCTGGGTATGAACACCCACAGATAGCTCTACAGAGAGGGCAACCAGAAACATACAAAACTGTTTTCTGCTGTGTCTGATGGTTCGCCCACCTAGTCCAGTTACTGTTTTGCTCAGACCAGCATAGTTCTCCAGGGTCTCCTAGAAAGGTCTCCCATATGATATGCCATTTACTTTTTAAAACTAAAAATGGCAGGGATTGAAACTGACTTGGACAACCTGTTTGCAAAACATATGTTCAACACTGAGCTATGATCTTCCCTACCAATCCAGGGCTCCATGAACCCAGGCCTAACAATGTTCTAGCCCATGATTCCTGCTAATTGCAACTATTTCTGTACAGAACAATATGAACTTTAACAAGTAAAGAGAAGTGAAGGGAAGAATGGTGATGCAGTAGTCTACATGACTTGAGCATCTTTGCTCAACACCCAAAATCAATGGAAGAATATGGATTAATTACATTGGTGGCACCAGCCCTCTGCATTTAGAGATGATAGAAAAACTGAAATTAATGTGTTCCACAGCTCCTGCCTTCTGAGCTGATAGAAAGATACTGGCTGGTGGAGGCTACAAAAGGATGCACCCTTCCCAAGATTTAGCTGGCTTAGCTGATCATTTTAAGTTGTTTATGATGTTATATGTGGCGATATTTGACTATAATGCTTCAGTGAGCTTCAGAGTGAAATAGAGAGTGTGTCAGAGAAACAGAACCATGTATCACATTCATTTTCTCAGGGCACAGGTCATATGAGTACAATGCTCTTCAGACTGATGATGGGAAGGCATCTGACCTACATCTTCAGCACTCTGCATTGTACTGTTGGCTAGCAAGGTTCTACTAGTGACTTGTCTACAATGGTTCTTGAGAATTGCTCCTGTCCTCCTCAGCCTTTCATCACTTCCAAAGGGAACACCATTCACAGCATGCATATGAAAGCAATGGGAAGAGGGAGATCATGAATGTTGAGGGAAAGAGAGCAAGTACTACTAGAAAAGATAAATCAGAGAGCTGATTGTAGGGTCCTCACCTTAGACAGTCCTGCAGCTGCCACCAAATGGGGGGGGGATCCTTGCAGGAAATTCCACCGCTGTGGCCAAATGTGGAGTTTCTACTCCGTAACCACCAAATACCACAGCTGAGAAGGCCCTTTCCCATAGCATCCAACTTTGTATTTCCCCTAAGTGGTGGCAGACCTCAGTTCTTGGGCAGGAATATATAGGGAGATATATAGGCATAGCTTCATGTAGTGGTTTGAAATTTTGGACTACAACTCTAGAGATCAGGGTTCAATTCCCTGCTTTGCCATGGAAAACCACTGGGTGATCTTGGGTAAGTTACACAGGCTTAGCCCCAGAAAATCCTGTGATAGGTTTGCCTTAGGTTGGCTCTAAGTTGGAAATGACTTGAAGGCACACAGTAACAACTAACATAGGGAATTTGTGTTTAGGACAGTCGTTTGTTGAGAGAGAAGCACCACTTTGGTCTGGTATTAAAATGGCTTTATTTGGCCTCTGAATTTGGATGTGTGTAAGGGCTCATATGGCAACCTGTTGCTCATACATTTTAATATGTTCACATTTTCTGCCAGACAGGTTTTTCTGCACACAATATTTTGTTGTTATGTTTTCCTTTGTGAGCTCTCTTGGGTCCCACTCTGGGAGAAAGGCGACATATAATTAAATACATACATATATACATACATACATATATAGAGTGATCTTCATGGTTGGCCTGCTATGTGGTGATACAGGACCTTCACATCAGTGGCACCACTAGATAGTGGAACTCATTACTTTCGAGATTTGTGTGCTTGAGTGGAGACCCTTCATCTCTCCAGATTTTGATGAATCCTATCATATGTCACTAATGCTTAGGTTGGTTGAGGTTGCTAGGAAATAAATAGAGTTGAGCATCATCTTGAGTGTCAGTTTCCTGACCCCAACCTGGGGCAACTTCCACAATCTGGTACTACCAGATGTGCATTTCAGGAGTTGTAGTTCAATCTGGTGCCAGCCAAATGTAGACAACAGGAGGATGCCAAGTTGAGTAATGCTGAAATAGTACACTTTCTATGTTAGTTTAAAGCCATTACTTTTAAATGCATCTTTTAAGAATGTGTCCTCTAGGTCCATTTAATCTAAAACTTTACTTGGGTTGCTGTTTATCATTGTGTGCTTCTGCAACTTTGTATTTTTAAACTGACTTTATTGCTTTCTTTTATTGATTGCAAGATGTTTTTGATTTGCAGTCACCCTGAAGCTCCTCCATGAGATAAAGAGTCATAGAGCTGATATCATTTTAGAAATACACATATATATGGGAATACTAAACAACCAAATCCTTGATAATTTTGGTTGCCCTTTTCTGGACCTCTTTCAGCTCTTGGACATTGTTTTTCAAATGGTGTGACTAAAGCTGTACACAATATTGAAAAATGTAGTTGCATTATAGATATCCATAAAAAGCATTAATTTTCAGTCTCTTTCTTAACAATCCTTCAGCATGAATTCTGGATTCTTGGGTATAAACAGCATGCTAGTGGATACTAGTCAATTCCTCCTGCTGCACGTGGGAGTGTCTAAAGACAGTCCAGAATGTCCATCCGTGGTTTGTTTATTGTGGCATCCAAACTTGGCACTTTGGCTTGCCTCTCTCCCAACAAGCCAAAGAAATAAATTCAGGATACCACGGGTAATTTCTCTGGCTTCTCAGGGGAAGAACAAGCTAGATTGTCAGGTCCTGTTGGATTCAGATGCCAGAATAAACAAGCTATGGTTGGAAGGTCTGTGCTTTTATTTTTTAATAGCTACTCCTACTTATTTAGATACTCCTCCACAACCCTGACTTATGATGTTCCCAACCCCCAAAGTTGCTGCTAGTTCAGATCCCATCATATAACTTTTTTTTTGCCCCAGAGTGCATTACTTTACATCTACTTACCAATGAGTTGTTTGTATTTTATTGTCCATTTAACCTAGATCCTTTTGCTCAACAGGAAATTTGCCAAAACTGAGGAATGAGTACCTGCATATTGAACTGATGACTGTGGCAGCTGATGGTTTTCATGTCAGTAGGGCAATGAATCTGCTCTGGATTTCACTCTGAACATTAAAACTGTCCAAGGTGTTCAGCATTGTCTGAAAAATAGGTTTAATATCTTGGCTAGTTAAGTTTACATTTAAACCCAGGGCACATTCACCACCCATGTGACTATGAAGGCCACCAGTTGCCACTGTTTCTTTATGTTCATCCCTCCACCAAATCTAGTGAACACATTTTATGCTGATGCAAAGATTTGCCATCTTATCTGAGGTTATCAGTAATGTGCAGCTGGATAACTACAGTTGGATGGGGGCCATTGACTTTAATTGAAACCATCTTGTAGGGACAAAAATAATAATCAGTGCATTCTTATGATAGTGTGTTTGGGCCGCTAGATGAATTCTTGAAAAGCATTTATATATCGCTAACACAGAGCTCTCTGTTACATATGAATGGGCAGCATTGAAATCATGTGCTATCCAGTATGGTAGGTGTGGAAAGCTTGTGGACCTCTGGATATTGTGGGACTGGAACACCCATCATCTTTTACCACTGGCTATGCCAACTAGGGCTGATAGGACTTGTAGTCCCATGGGGACTAAAGTTTGCCTACCTCTGTGATACTGGGGAAAGTGTTTGGAAATCATATGAAACAAGTGAGATTTGCAACAAAATGTTGCAATGTAGACTATGCCTCTTCAGGCTTCCAGATAGCCACATCCTTTCCCAGGACATTCCATTCATCTGATTTCTATCTTCCCTCCTGGTTGTCCTCCAAATAAGCAGCATTTCAAAGCAATTGAGCCTGCTTAATTGTCAATGGGCTATCTCAGGTTCCTTTTCTCCTTTAGCTCCCCCACCCTGTCAATACTCTTTATTTGTATTATCTGCAAATTTTGGGACTTCCCCCAGACTGCTGATTCTTCTCTCTGGTGTATGAATGTTGCCATTTGGGCTAGGAAAATGAGCTTGCTGTTAGCATATGGAATTTTGATTGATTGAAGGATCAACCAGCAAGCACTGGGAGGGATCAACTCCCCAGAAAAATCTGACTCTACCTTTGAATATGAGCTCAGCCCACCCAAGAGATCTTGCTTTGATCAACAGCTCATTAAAAGCAGCATTTAATATGACAGATTAATTAGTGAATGTTTGTAAAGAGCCTTGAACATGAAAAGTGTTCTATAAATGCTGAGGATCGTTATTAATGACTATTACATGGAGTCTGGCTCCCACCCTTGGTTCTCCTGGGAAGAAGGGTGCCCTGGAGGCATGTATGGCACAGCTCTTGGCCCTAGGGCCTCTTTGCTTCCCTGTCTCTCAGTTCTGATTACCTCATTGCTTTGCAAGAATCCTTCTGGGCTTAGCGTACTCACAGTAGGCACGCGCTCCATATTCATGGCACAGAGATCAAGCCATTCCTCTTTCTCTGGGGAAAGGAATTGCTGATCCATCCCAACCCGGGGCCAGGCAACTGCCTGCTGACAGGGAATAGCTGGCTGATTTTGGAGCTCTTCTGGGGATACCCTGTTCCAAAGGCAAGCGATGCGTTTAAGGCTGCAAGTCTTTCAGTTGCAATGCACTCTCCTGTTATGCATGGGGAAGAACAGACTTCCACTGTCGGGTTGAAGTGGGACAAGCCAATGTACGTAAGCAAATTGAAGGTTAAATGTCTGCATCACAGCTGGTGTGATGTACAGGGTCGGCCCTCCCATTAGGCAGAGTGAGGTGGCTGCTTCATGTGTGGGGCAGGAAGAGAAATTTCTGGAGGACAGAGCTTCAGGTACACCCCATAGTCTGCCCTGTGCCCCCTAAGGCAGCCTTTTGTCCTCAGGTGGAGTAGCAATAGTATCAAAGTAAGACTCAATTACCAGCTTGGTTGGATTCTACAAATGGAATGTGTGTGGGTGAAGTGGGGGAGTACCATTTTGACCTTTGCTTCAGCAGAACTGGAAAATGTTATTGTTTTGGAGTTTGACTCTCAGAATCTGCAGCCATTGTCACCATTGGAGTCCAGGACTTGTAGTCTAAAACAGTAATGTTTCAGAGCTGTACACCTCAGGCAGCAAAACATCTTGGATCAACCTTAAGAATATAGTGGCTGGAGCGTGTGGCTGCAGAATGAACAAAGACTGGCCACACAGGTGAAACAGCTTGGCTAGCTCAGCTATGGATTTTGGTGGGTGGCTTTGAGACAGTCACTTTCTGCATAACCTACTTTACTGGATTTTTATTATGGACATATAAGTAGGAAATGCAACTATAGGTGCCGGCTGAAGCTGATAAAAGGGCAAAACATGAGAACAACATGCATCAAAGCACATCACTTCCTCTAGCCTTATTTGCAGTCCTAAAGGTACCAGGTCCCATTTGATCTTGGAAGCTAAGTAGGGTCAGCCCTGGTTAGTACTTGGATGGGAAATTATCAAATGAACAACAGGTGTTTTAGGCTATATTTCTGAGAATGGAACGGATAAAACCACCTATGAGTACTCCTTGCCTAAAAAACCCTCTATGAAATTAAGGCACAGGAGACTTGAAGACACTCTCATACACACAGACACACACTCCTTCTCTCCATGGTGGCAGGTGACTCCCATGTCCATGTGGTGGTGAGTCTCTTATGGGTTTTTGTTTGATGGTTAAGAGCTAACCATCATGCTGAACCTATTTTGGGGACAGCTCTTTCAAAGTCCAGACTAATAAAACTCAAGACTTTATTACACCAGACTACTAAGATGCCACAATCGCATTAGTATAGCAAACACAAACATATCGGTTGGGAGGTTGTTTTTGCATGGTTCTTCAAAAGCCCCATGGTGCTGCTATAGTCCTGGGTGCTATCTTCTGCACACCAGCCTTCATAACCCTGCCTTCCTGACCCTTTCCTATGCCCTTTACAGCATGCCTTTTGGTCTGCATTTTAAAATTATTTTTTGTTTTCAATTGCATGGTCACAGCAATTGATTAAGTAAGAAAAGAAAAGAAAAGGAAATTGGGGGAGGGGAAGAAAAACAGCTTGCTTGGGAACAGTGAAGGGGAGAGGAGCATAATCATGCCCATTCGTACCATATGACTGCCTGCATATTGGAACTGTACGGGGAGGAAGTTATTGCACATGAATCAATAGTGGAAAAGCTGCACAATTATTTTGCAATGAAAAGGAGCACTCCAGGAACAGATGGAAGATGAAGCAGATACAGGACAGATACGGTGTCATGTGAAAAGGTATGGCCACAGACACTACTATCCTACTGTAATTC